ATCTACGTCCTGAGGACCTCGCTGCCACCGTCCAAGCGTGCTTGGCCCCGGCAGATGAACCTCAGGATTAAAGGGTGGGCTCAGTTCCGCGCACACTGTGTCTCACCTAAAAAATCCAATGCGCAGGCTGGAAGGTGGAAAGACCTTCCCCGGTTCTTCGTTCGCGAAGAGACTGGCCATTCATTCAAGGCTGGAGATACCACTGCTGCTGGTACAAATGCCATCCCAAACTCAGCTTCAGACACACTTAGGGCCTTTGTCATTGGCTTAAGTACAAAGGAGAGTATGAGACCTTCTCTCAGGTGGATTTGCACTTGCATCCTCCTTCCCTGAGGATCACAGAGAGGGTGGCAGAGGGTCTGCTGGCCCTGCAGTGTGTGCTCCTGGACCAGCCAGATGGCTTTCTGGCCTCCTCTGAGACCAGGACCTTGTTCCAGCTTTTAGTGAAGTCAAGAGAAATGTTTTGAAGGCTCTGGTGTTCATCTCACTCATTTATTCAACAGGCATCTGTCAGGGATGGTAGCTAGCCATGGTGTCATGTCTCGCTTGCATAAAATGTTTAGTGTTGACACAGAACTGCAAAAAACAGTGATTTTGGATGGAGTTTGGCTTCAGGCTATCACTGGAGCTGGGGATGCAGCAGCAGTCCAGGTTTGCATCTGCCTGGGCAACGTGTGGTTGGTGGAAGGCAGGCAGGCGGGTGGTCATCACTGAAGTCCATTTGCTGTCAAGGGATGCAGAGGTTCTGTGCTGAAGGTGGTTCTGTGCAGCAGTACAGGAAAGGTGTTCGTGCAGAATTTCCAAATTTGCACAAAAAAATACCTACTTGAAAATTATGCTCCCCACCCATGTTCGAGTTCAGACAGACACAGCGGCTTTGGCTCAGGGCAGGGGGTGATGGGCTAACAGGAGATAATCCTGCAGTGCCCAGCAGAGCTGCCAAAATGTACAACCTCGCTGCGGGGTCACGTCACCTGCAGGCTTTGCTCAGGGGTCAGCGTGGCCTGGGGCCTCAGAGTTGTTTTTTTACCCTGTGTAAAGCTGTGTTTTACCAGCCTTGAGCAGCAAGGAGCCAAGGTGAAGCTGCTGAACTGACTGTGCCATTGGTGTTTATTTTTAGGGTTCCTACGGCGTTGTGAAACTGGCCTACAACGAGGACGACGACAAGTATTACGTAAGTGTGTCCCTCCCCTGCTCCTCTTTGCTGCTGCTGCTCCTCACTCCTCTTCACCCCCCCTGGGAGCTGGGTCCCCTCTACCTTGCTGCTTTTATAGCCCGTGCACTTCTGATTGGTGTGGCATGCAAGGAGCTGAAGGTCCTGCTGGTTGTGGACCCGCTGTGCGCGTGCGGTGCCGGGCGGGAGCAGAGCGGATCGGGTGGGCTGCCTTATGTAACGAGAGGGATCTCGGAGGCAGGAGCGTCTCTGATTTGTCTTGACATTTTCTAGCTATGAAGCAGGTCACCTGAAATTAGAGGCGTGTGGGTGGTGGTATTCAGCACCTGCTGTGCATTGGAGGGTTGGCCTGGAACGAGCAGGCGTGTTTTGTAAGGAAACGGGGGCGTTTATCAGAAGGATTCTGAACAGCGTGGCCTGGCTGGGCAAGGCTCCCTTGGAGGGGGGGTCTTACCCCCTTGGTTGGTGCCTGGGGGGCACTGAATGGGGCCTCACTGCCAGGGCATGAGGTGCAGGGTGCAAGGCAGAAAGCAAACCTTGTTGAGGCTGACAGCAGCAGCTGGAAGGAAGGAAAAGCCCCTTGCTGTGTGTGGCTGTGCCTGGAGGCTTCTGGAAAGAGCTTCCAACAGTTTCTGATGAATCCAAGGACAGGAATTAGCTGAGCAGAGCTGGGTGGTTGCAGTGCTGTTGAACCTGAGTCCTGCTGCCCCCAACACAGCCCTGCCAGAGCTGCTGCTCCACACTGTGTTTGGTGGGAGGGTCCTGCTGTTGCTCCCACGCTGGAGTGGCCTCGTGGGTGAATTTTCCAATGTGGCCCATCAGGGCACCCAGGCAGATTCACGTGCTGTTCCCTGTCCCTGCTGGCTTTTGTACAAAGGGGAATAAGGATATGCTGTGGATTGTAAAGCATCCTCATTCCCCACTATTCCCCAGTGGGTTTTCCTCCCCGACTCTTGGATT